AAGTAAAGATTTCATTATCACTCAAGTACCACTTCATTATCATTTTCACTTAAATATTACGACCATTCGACTGTCATATTTTATTATTGATGCAATGTTTGGAATAGAAATCCTTGAAGTATTTGCGCCAAAAACGATTAAATCTCAACATTGCATGATTTTGGCATAATTTGATAATGATTAAAGTTGCTTCTGTTTATATAAAAGATGACTAACAAATCGTCGGCTCGCCAAAAAGAAAATCTCTTGTACGAGGATGAACTTAAATCGTATGGGATAATCACTCCGTTCATTGGACTTCCTTCTATTTCATTGGGGAGGAATGGCATATCTGCCGAAATCATATAATTAGAACTATTTGTTTGTTTAATAGTGGTTTAATCCCATATGATGCAAAAATCCATTACAATTTCCTAACCAGTTACGAATTTTCTGCGTATTTCTAAATGATGTTCGTGAGATGTGACTGTCAGTATTGTACAATAACAGTTCTCCGAGGGTGTTATATTGATCGGTTTTTCACTTCCAAACAAAATAGCTTCATGTGGTTTCCAAAAAGGCACTGCGAAGGGTTCTTGGTGCTAAAATTCGAATTTGATCATTATGTCGTGAAATCATCGTCTGTTATAAGTTCTTTCTGATTTTTAGTAAATTATTATGCTTGACAGGAACAAAGAATGGAACATGCCTGAAAACCGGTGAAATTCGTCTCATCTATGCCTTTCAAAGCATTCCTTAAATATGGCGGGTTTATTTCACCATCTCGGTAATGCAGTATTCCACGTCGACGGTTTAACTCGTGGTTTATATGTTCAGACATCATGGGGATTGCCCTGTAAGATGACATGAAAAAAAATCCATTATTTTTATTATTTGCAATCAGTTCGTTATAGCTTATTAACTCATTTCAATTTCCCTTATCTCCTACAGTTACTAGTAATTGTAATCACAGAATTTGGCGGACATGATTTTTTGACGTTGGTGTCGGATTACCGAAATTAAAGCTACGTTCAAATCAAATTTCCACAATATCCAATAAACGAATATCCAACGATCAACAGAATAGCTTTCCCGACACTTGGTGAATATCTGTAGCGTGATAATATATAAGTAAAAGAAAAGTGCTAACATGCTAAGATTTCTTAAATCATTGCGGGGCAAGTGACGAACAATTATATGTCCCACTTGTCCAAGAGCAGAGACTAGTTTATTATTGGGATACCGAAATTTAGTTTCAGTCTTTCTTTTTTTGGGAGCGCTGAGTCCTTCTTCATCCGTCCCACCTGAAATTCTAATTAATTCGTCACTAATGTTCTTGTTCTTCACATATTTAAACAGGTAAATTCATTCAAATTTCCTTATTATGTACTGTGGACCACTTCAAAAAAAGTTCATTTAAATTTAAAATTCGAAAATTAGAAGAGTCTACCTGTTGCTGATGTAATATTGAATGATATCGTATGGCTTACAATGAATGTGAGAATGGCAAGATAATTAAAATCCATTGTTGCCAAAAAGCTGTAAATTAAGAATACACTCAATGATTTGAATAATCTTA